CTAATTGACTTTCTGGTAAGTAATTGGCTGAACTGCCAGAGTAGGGCTGGCTTTATCTAACTGGCTTTGAGCAGTATCTAAGGATAATAATAATAACAATGACAATAAAACTAATATTTATAGAGCACTTTGAAGTTTGCAAAGTGCATTATGCATATTATCACATTTGATCTTTGTAACAACCTTATGAGGTGGGTGCTGTTATCACCCCATTTTTCTGATGAGGAAACTGAGGCTGAAATAGGATAAGTAACTTGCTTGTGGTCATAGAGCTAAGTGTCTGAGGTGGGATTTTCTCACCTCCAAGTCCAGGACTCTATTCCTTGAAAAGTAGCTCTGGGTAGTGAATCGACCAACTATGACGATCCACTAATGCAGGATTGTGCAGGGCCAGGTGGCAAGAAATAATGGGAAATTGGGACAAGAGGGGAGTCAAGAGAGAGGTGGGCAAGATGGTGGAAAAGAGAGTGAAAAATGGTGTGAAGAGAAAAAAGAAAAGTAAAAGCAGGGACAACCCAAACCCTCATGGCTTAGGCCATATGGCAATAGATCCCAACTCTTGTGCTATGGATGCTCCAGCATCCATTACTGTCAAGAAAATGTAACAGGGGGCGGCTAGATGGCACAGTGGAGAGAGCTCCAGCCTTGGAGTCAGGAGGACCTGAGTTCAAATCTGGCTTCAGACACTTGGCACTTACTAGCTATGTGACCCTGGGCAAGTCACTTAACCCCATTGCTTAGCCAAAAAGCAAGAAAAAAAATATGTAACAGAGGGAAATTTGGAAATAATAAGAAGAATAGTTTACATTTCTGTCATGGTTTAAGGTTTACCAAATGCTTTCCTTATCCCTTGAAATATGTCATATTATTCCCATTTTATAGATGCCAGATAGCAAGTTTCCTGATTTCCAGTATTCTTTCCACTACATCATTTTGCATCCCATTTCTCCTAACATTTTTGGTCTAGCAGAAGAAGACTATGACATTATTTGACCTTCTTTCTCCTTTGCTTCTGTCTGATTGAGGCCTAGCAAAGCACCAGGACCTAAAAACTACCCCAACTCCTCACCTTACCCACTACTTTCCCCCTTCCTACACTTGACCCTTTGGACCAAGAATGTGGCCCTAGTCCTTCAACTATACTGCATTTAAGGAGCACTTCAAGGCTTTTCTGTGGATTTTGTTGTTTCATATATTAACAGTATCTTCTCCTGTCCTTCCCTTGCACTCTGGTACCTACTGTCCTATGTACAGATCAATCAGTCAATCGATAAACATTTATTAAGGGTGCCAGGTTCCACACTAGCTCAGGATATGGGTACAAAGTGAGACAACTTCTGCTCTCAAGGAGTTTGTACCCTGCTAGGCAGATAGGAGATGTTCACAGATAATTAAATGGAGAATATCTATACATACACACATGTGTATATATGCAAAATTATATGATTATATATGATATATGCAAAATAACAATAATAGCTAGTATTATATAGCACTTACTTGGGCTAAGCTCCTTATAATTAATAATAATAATGGTAATGATAATGATAGCGAACATTTATATAGCACTTACTATATGCCAAGCACTGTGCTAAGCTCTTTACCGATATTATCTCATTTGATCCTCACAACAACCCTGAGAAATAGGTGCTTATTATTTCCATTTTACAGATGAAGAAACTGAGGTAGTGAGAAGTTAAATGACTTTCCCCAGGTCATAGAGCTGGTAAACATCTGAGGCCAAATATGAACTCAAGTCTTCTTGATTTGAGGTCCAGAGCTCTACCCACCTTACTACCTAGCTGCCTCAAATAAATTCACAGCAGTAGAGTAGGTGGGGAAGAAGAACTAACGCCTTGGGAAATCGGGGAGGTAGGAGTACCAAGAGGTGGAAGTACAGAAGGAGAACATTCCAGGTGAAGGGAGAGTCTTTGTGTGCAAAAGCACACAGCTAGGCATTGGAATTTCATTTATGGGAACAGCAAACAGGCCATTTAGGTTGGCATGCAGAGTGGGCAATTCTATGATTCTGTGTAATGTGTAATCAGCCTGGAAAGACAGACTATAGCTACACTTTGAAGGGCTTTAGAAGAGTTTGTCTTTTTCATCCTAGGAGCACCAGGAAACTAGTGAAGTTTCTTGAGTTGAGTGATACTGTGAGACCAGTGCTTTATCAGTTTGACAGCTGTGTGGAGGATAGATCGGAGAGGAGAGAGGTTCCTTAAGAGCAGGAAACTATCTTTTACCTTTCTTTGTATCCCCAGTGCTTAGCACAGCGTCTGGGACACAGTAGGACTTTGAGAAATGCTTGCTACCTGTTAACTGACTTGAGGCTGGGAAACCAATGATGAGGTAGAACAGGGGAGAGGCAATGAGGACCTGGATGAGGGTGGTGGCTGTGGGAGTGGAGAGAGAAGCAGACAGCTGTGAGAGATGCTGAGGAGGCAGAATCAACAAAACCTGGCGGCTGTTTGGACATGGCAGAGGACACATATTTTAGATAAAGTTAGAAAGTTAGCTCCAGGAAAAAAGTATATGCACCAAGCAAGACTTGAAGGCAAAAACCAATCAGGTATCTGGTTGTTTTGCTGAGGAACACTTAAAAAATAGGATTTGATCATGATATGGTGGTGGCTTCAGTTCGGGGGTTTTCAGTTCACTTTGTAGGTTTTAGCTACAGAACTAAAACATTAAGAGAGAAACTCTATAGCTCTACAGCTCCCTAAAGGAAACTTTAAAAATGCTTCCTCACAGTCCATATGAACTGAAACTAGCAAGACCTGCACAGACATCAGGGTCACACACTTTATCTCTGTACCCTTTAATTTCCCCTTCCTCTCCCGTAAGGAGTCTGGCTCCACTCTCTGACTTGATGTTGCAACTTAGTCAGAGCCCCCTCACAGGCCTGATGGGAAAGTCACAAAAGAAATGACAATGAGGGAGAACTGAAAACAGCTACTCACCCACTTGTCCAGGAAAAATAATGCCAGATGCCTAGAAGTTTTATTTTACCAGCTGTGAAGGACCTTCCCCTGCCCCACCCCTTAGCTTAGTTCTTGTTTGCACTGAAAATTTGAACACAATTTTGTGCAGGAAGTACAGAAAGATGACGCGTTCCTTTAGTCCTTTGCATCCGCCTGATGAATGATAGTGTTACTGCTTTAGTGGCCCACCTAAATTCCTAGAGAGCAGGAACTGCTACTTGGTGGCCTACCTTGGAGAGGAGAGCAAGGGTAGGGAAGGAAGTGATAAGCCTTACTAAAATATTCAGCTTGAATAATAATTAAAAGAAAAAACTCATAGAGATGACCTGGGAGACAGAAAGATAGGTTTAAAGCCTCAACCTTTACACTTACTGGCAAGTCACTTACTTTTTCATTGGCACAGACAACTCTCTAAGACTACCATAAGGGGCAGATCAGTCACTGATCTGTATGGGTAGAGGGAATTTCCTCTATCAATTAGATCTTAATTTTGGTATACACACACAAAAAATTTTGTTCTGGCTGCTGTTGCTTTTGTAGAACAGTTGATGTGAGAATCTGAAAAAAGGCAGGTTATTTTTACAATGACTGGAAGGTAAAGATAATTTGTAAACTTAAACTTCTTTTTTTTTGGTAAGCAACCAGCAAAGTTTATTGAGTAGCCACTGTGAGATAAATACTGTACTAGGCTCAAACTAATGCATTGCATCTGAAGCTGATTGATTTACAGTTCTGCCTGGCAACCTTCATCTCTGCTCAGCAATTCCTTCCATCCTTCTGCCCTTTAAATAAAGAAGCTCTGACCTAATACTGTCTCTGTTGTGATCCTCTCCCAGCACTTCAAATCCTCTCGTTCATCTGTTACTTCTTAGTTAGCCCTGCTAATTACATGACCTGACTCTACCTACTCCTTGGACCTCTCCTCCTGGCTGACCTTGTTTGCCATCCAATTACTATATCACTATTCATGGCACTGTTTTTTTTCCTCCCTTAGAAACCTTTCCCTGTATCTTCCCTTTTGGATTCACTCTATAAATAATAAAAACCCTATCTGTGCACTAGCTTGTGGTCCTACTCATACCTCTGACCTTGCCTTTTCAGTTTTCCTAAATTCTTTGTCATATGAAGGATATATCTGCAGCCAGATAATAAAGAAAATAAAAGAGGCTGAAAGTAAGTTCCTCCTGTAGCTCTGTCACTAGCTTGCTATGTGACCCTGAGAAAGCCATTTAGCTTCCCTGTGTTTATTTCCTTCCTTCTTTATTTTATTATTTTGAGGCTGGGTCTCCCTATTTTACTCAGGCTAGAAGTGAAGTGGCCCACCATTCACAGGCCAATCCTACTGCTGATTGGCCTGGGATCTTTGACCTTCTCCATTTCTAGGTCACCTGGTTTGTCCTTCCATTGGATTTCCATTCCTAGGGACTCAGCATGTTGGTATAGGACTTAGTGAAGACCTCAAATTGGCTTTAGGCTTACTTCAGTTTAGAACTCTCAAACTCAAGAGATCTGCCAGTCTCTGCCTTCCCCAGGGATCGCATACACCCCTGTGCTTCCTTAACACCATACTACCAAATACTAACATACTCCTATTTTTTCTTCTTTAAAAAAATAATGTGGGCAAAGCCTGGGGACAATGTAGAGTTAATGAATAGAAACCTGGAAGTTATAAAAAAAAAAACCTGGATTCAAGTCTGGATCCTGACATATCTTGACTGTGAGATCTTGGGTCCCAGGTAATTCTCTAAAACTATAAATTGTAAAACAGTTGCTAATTGGCATGGATAGGAGTTTTCTCACTAGGAATTCCTTAGACCCATGAAACCACAGGCTTGGATCCTGTCTCCCACCATACAAAAAAAAAATGAAAAGAGATGGCATAATGACAAGTTATAGGGAAACAGATGACCCAGTAAATACATTATACACACAGCAGATGGCTGAGATCTATTGGAAAAGGGATTTACTTAGTTCACTTTGTTCATGTGGGTGATTTGTGATTAAAAAAAATGAATGGCCACTACAAGATTTCTTCTTCTTGATCTGCATTACTGTTATCCAAAAGTATTGATCGAATTACTTGTTTGTGATACTGTAACAGATGTTGTGTAAGGAGATTAAGCAGCTCTGATCACTCATCAATGGGAGACTGACAACACCATCAGAAGGTAACCATTTGGAATAATGATAATTATTAATAATAACTAACATATAGCACTTTAAAGTGTTTTAAAGTCTAAGTATTTTTTGTTTGGTTTTTTTTGGTGAGGCAATCAGAGTTAAGTGACTTGCCCAGGGTCACACAGCTATTAAGTGTTAAGTGTCAAGTGTCTGAGGTCGCATTTGAACTCAGGTCCTCCGGACTCCAGGGTTCTACCCACTGTGCCACATAGCTGCCCTTAAAGTCTAAGTTTTTTGGAGGTTTTTGTTTTATTTTTGGTTTGGCTCTGTGATGTCATTGGGGATGGTGAACTCTAGTGGAGAGGACAGCAATTTACTTTACTAATGCATATCAGAAACTCTTCGGTAACATAGTTTTAGATTATTGTTTAGGCACTGCTCTTTTCAATTATTTGCCTCTGTATAACCAGTACGTGTAAGAGGCTGTATTTGAATTCAGATCTTCCTGACTCCACTATGCCCAGCTTCTTTTCTTGAAAAATACTTTATAATGCATTATCTTGTTGGATAATTAAAGCAACCCTATGGGGGTGGGTATCATAGGTATTATTAACTCCATTTTACAGATGAGGAAACTGAATCATAATGACCCCTTCCAACTTGTCCAAGTGTCTGAGACCAGATTTGAACTCAGGTTCCCTTAAATGGAGAGGCAGTCAAAAGAGCCCTGTATGTAGAATCAGATAGAGTTGTTTCAGTTGTGTTTGACTCTCTATGACCCTATTTGGGGTTCTGTTGGCAAAGATACTGGAGTAGTTTTCCATTTCCTTCTCCAGTTCATTTTACAAATGAGGAACTGAGACAAACTTAGTTAAGTGACTTGCCCAGGGTCACTCAGCGAGTAAGGGTCTGATACCAGATTTGAACTCATGAAAATGAGTCTTCCTGATTCCAGGCCCCATGCTCTATATCCACTGCACCACCTAGCTACCCAGAATCAGAGGGCCTTGGTTTAAACCTTCCTCTCTCATTCACTCCATGTGCCTTGGGAAAATCATTAACCTCTCTGGGCCTCAGTTTCTTCATTGGTAAAACCAGAGGGATGGGATGTGGGCTCAGTGGCCTCTAAAGCACCTTCCAGCTCTATGTCTCTGATTCCACCCATGGCTGTAAGTCCAGCACTCTAACCACTAGGATATGTGGTTTCTCCATGGGAGGTGTCCTAGAGTCAGAACACTTGTGTTTAAATGGCAGCTCTCCCTGCTTCATCAGTTTCATGACCTTGGACAAAAGTCACTTTGCTTTTCTGATCCCCAGTTTTCTGCTCTGTAAATGAATGGGTTCATCTAAATTAGACTAAAACTAAATTAGAATGTGAGTTCTCTGAGGACAGAACCTGTTTTTGGTTTTCTTTGTGTCCCCAGCACTTAGTATATTGCCTGGCATACAGTAAGTGCTTACTAAGTGCTTGCTGTCTGACCAAACTCGATGCTCACTACAGTTTTCTTCAGATCTAAATCCTGTGGTCCTATGAAAGGCAACAGCGACAGAGAAAGAGATGCTGACAAATGAGGAAGCAGAGAACAAACATCATGAATCAAGTGTTCACGTCATGTGCCGGCAAAGGATGAGTGCTCTGAGTGGGGGTGGTGAGTAGAAAATTGTAAGATGGGTTCCCCTGGAGGAGATGGGATAGCAGGTGTTTGGTGGAAGGCAGAGAGAGAGAAAGAGCTTTGTAGGCTGGGGGTTGGAAAGGCATTCCAGGTCTCGGGTGTGGCTTGGGAGAAGGCTGAAAGGAGGGAGTGGGATGATTATTAGATTGAAAGGGGTGTTGAGTTAATTTGCCCGAGAGAAGCAAAGGGGATGGGCTGTAGAGTGGGAGGTGATGGGCAGTGACTTAGACGAGCCTGTCTGAAAAACCGAACCAAACCCAAACAAAAAAACCCCAAACCACTTCGAAACAGGGTGAGGAGCTGAGTTCTGGTTTATAGTCCAAAATAATCCACCTATAATCATGCTTTGCTCTTCTTCAAGGCTCTTCATCCAAACATTTTCTGCAGATCTGCTGACACCATTTTGTCCATCTTTTCAACACGCCTTCCACCTGGAATGGCAAGTCTCATTACGTATTTTACAGGCAAATACACTGAGGCACAGAATGTCTCAGAATGAAGGGAGCTGGGGGCAAGAACCCAGGTATTTGAGGACACAGTTTACCCTCAGCTGATGCCCTCTAACGAGGCGTGAGGGCAAGGGTCTTGGATTTGGAATCAGAAGACCTCGGTTTGAATTTTGCCTCAGTCACTTTTATTCCCTCTGTAGCGAATCGCCTATCAAGGCCTCAGTTTCCTCATCTGTAAAATGAGGGGTTTTACTAGATAGCCTCTAAGCTTCCTGCCCTTTCTAAAGTCCTATGATATTTCTCTTTACCACAGCTGCCAATCATATTAAAATAACCAAAATGTTCTTTACATTCACAGGGACAGAAAGGCAGCAAGGAAGCTTCTGTGCTTCCCTTTCCTCCGGGGCTGCCTTTGTCTCTTGGCTCCTCCCCTCCTCCATCCTATCTTAGCTGTTGGACCATACCACCCCGAAACTGCACACAGGCCCCTTTGTGCAGTTTATCTTCCCCCTTTCTTCTCCTCTTCGCCACAGGTGTTGGGGGGAGGCCGAGATCAGTGCCGCTCCTGCAGACCAAGATTAGACTCACCAAACTGTCTCTTTCCTTTTCACAAACCCAAGAGAACCAGGAAACTCCCACATGTCGTAACTAAGTGTAGCCCAGCTGTCCAAACCACAGAGAGGAATGGATAGCAGCAGGCTGTTCAGGCTACAGGCCTGGGGGATGGGGGAGGCCGAGGGCCTTGGCAGGGCTGGCAGGGCCGGGGCACTCTGAGCTCTCCTGTGAAGGGCAGAGGGAGACGGGTGCCATCCAGGGGCAAATTATGCCTGTTGTGTATGAGTTAAAAAAAAAATCAGTTGATTCTCATGTTGAAATTTGATCTGTAAAATTTGTTTTGCATTTTAAATTAAATTTAAAAACAAATGCCCAACTTGTCAAGGGTGGGGCGTTGTCAAAAGAACCCTGAACTTAAGAGTCAGAAGACACGGGCTCTAGGCTGGGTTCTGTTATAAAGTAGCTGTCTGACCTTGGGGCACTTTTCTTCAGTATATTGTCTTAGAACACAGTTCCTTGGGAAATGGAGAGGTTAAATGATTTGAAGGGGGCCATGTTGTCAGTAGCTTTGGGCAAGTGGCTTTACCCCTCCAGGCCTTGGTTTCTACATGTATCAGATGGGTCATCTGAGCCAAGAGTTCTCTTCCAGATCTACTATTAAATTTTAATTTAAAAGCTGCAAGTTTCTTTATTATAAGAAAAGAATAACTAATTTCTATATAATACTTTAGGTGGCACAGTGGATAGAGTGCCAGTCCTGAAAGCAGGAAGATCTGAGTTCAAATTTGGCCTTGGACTCTTATTAGCTGTGTTACCCTGGGCAGGTCATTTAACAGCTATTTGCCTCAGTCTCAACTGCAAAATGGGGACATACTGGAGAAGGAAATGGCAAACAACTCTAATATCTGTGCCAAGAAAACTCCATGGACTAGCCTTGGGGGTCACATAGAGAGTAAGACATGACTGAAAAACAACATAATACTTTAAGACATCGAAATCACTTTATATCCATTATCTCATTTAAATCTCATAATCTCCATTTTAAAGATGAAGAACCTGAGTCTGAGATTAAGTGACTTGTACCTGATCACACAATGAGTGTCAGAGATGGGATTCAAACCCAGGTTTCTTCTAACTCCAAGGCCACCACGCATGCTGACTTTAAATGGCCATTAAATGAGATTTCAAACATTGACTAGATAGAATTAAGTTGTTTTTTTTAATTACAAAAAGTGACTTTGAAAATGTCAGGGACTCTCATAGAAAGGGAATACCTCTATGTGGAGTCACAACTTGTATGGGGGAAAAAATCTCTGTGATCTAAGGAGTTAGGCTCAATATATTTTCCTCTAAAAGAATTGGGGAACTGACAACAAGCATTGAAGTGCCTACCATGGTCTATAGACATTGTGCTAACTGCTTTACAAATATTTGAGAATTAACAACTTAATTCTGCCCTTCAAACTGGAGACAATGACTTTTCTAACTTCCTAGGAGAAAAGGACTGAGTAACTTCTCTGTGTCTTTTCCTATATTCTTTTTCTGTCTATGCCTCTATGAATGCTAGGAAAAGAGAATGGTTATACTCATTTCTCAGTGATGGTCAGAGGTCATTCTTCTTGATATTTAGCTCAGATCACCTCTCTTTCTTCTGGGACTTCAAGAGGAGTTGGCTCATGGCTCTAAATGAAATGTCAGGGGGGTGAGCAAGCAAACCTATATACCCCAAAATCCTTGATGAAAGCAAATGGAGAAATCAGTTTTTCAAAAACTTTCCATAGTGAAGTAGGGGTGAACCAGGAACGAATCCCCCTCCCCATCCCCCCCCCAAAATAGAGGAAGATTTTTTCTTTTTGATAGCAACCTAACTTAACATTAACCTGAGAAATGGAAGGATAAGTATGGGACTTGACAAATTTGTGAGCAAATAATAATTAAAAATAAAAACTGAAAATTAAATATCTCTTTCAAGTTTCTAAAGTGCTTTCCGTTCATTATAGTATTGCTTCATAACAACTCCCAGAGGTAGGTGCTTATTATACCCATTTTACAGAGAGGTTACATCACTTGCCTGCGATTGCACAGCATAAGTCAAAGGAGGGATTTGAACCCAGGTCTTTCTGACTTCAGTTCCAGCACTCCATTCATTATGCCAAAGTGATGAATGCGACATATTGACCTGAATATAGGCTGTCTTTTTGCCTCCAAACCTGGTGTGATTAAAATATTAGTGAGATCTTTAAATGATGCTATTTTTTCTATGCATAACTTTATGCCTTTTCACTTTTTAAGGGCTTTCATTTATTGGGAGACAGGTTGTCTATATTTGGACAACTATTGTAAATGCCCTCTTTCTACACTGGAAAAAAACCCTCCACTTTCTTTAAAAGTCACTCATTTTGTGACCTAATTATCCTGCCCCATTACATTGACTAGTATTCATAAAATGCTTTGACATCTTCCAATGAAAACATGTTTCTGTACACCTTAACGTTTTCCATACAAATGAAACGGTTTCTTCTGTTAACAGAGAAGTCTCAGGGGAGGGGCACACCTGCATTAGTGGAGGGCATTTTCTCATCCAGGAGTTCCCTACAGCAATGAAATTACAGCTCCTGTACCTACATTTGCATTATTCTGGAGGTGATTTCTTTAAACATCATTTTAGTTATTGCTCAAGTGCTATATCATTAAATATCTCCCATCCTAGTTACAGAATCATGGCAATCCATACGAGGCAATAATTTAATCTTGAGGAATTATCGCTCCTCCAAAAGAAATCAGAAGTATAATTTGAACCCAGGTCTTCCTGAAAGTACTAGGCCCAGTAGACTATCCATTACATACACCACATTACATCCTCTCTCTATTTAATCACAACTAGGCAAATGGCAAAAGCAGTGACTTCCCTTATCCTCAGTGTGGGATACATTAAACAGACTACCTAGAGCACTGCAAAGTAAACATTTTTTAAGACAATGAAGAGTGATCACATGCTTATTTTCTGTTATTCTGTGGCATTTGCTAAAGAACATGCATAAAAGCAAAGTTATTTGCCATGATTGTCCTATGTGTTATTTATTAGGAGTTGATAGAGTGCTCTGTAACTGTGAGATGGAGAAGTAAATATAATGTTTGCCCAGTGGGCTTATAAACCAAGACAGAATTGAAAGGAAATGAAGTTTTAGATGTCCCCTTCCCCTCTTTAAATTGACTTCATGAAGAATTCCCCCAATCCCTTCCTCTGTAATTTTTTTTCTCATTTTCTATTTTCACTTACTATTACTTACTGTTAGTCTGTTCAACCTTTTTTTATTTTTCAAAGTTGAGTAAAGTGTATATGTGTTTCTACGTCTTTGTTTCATTGTGGAATATAATTTCCAGTAGATTTACAGAAGCACAGGATTTTGAGGAGACATTTAAGAAAGCAAATGTGTGGGTTTGGGAGATTGGAAGGGGGAGATGGTTCCAGGCCTAGGGGGCGGTGGGGAAAGAATGCAAGGAGGGAGGAGTGGGAGAATAAAATAGAGCTACAGCCAGTCTACAAGTCCAGGCATAGGGCAGGGAGCTTGAACAGGAAGTGAAAAGGATGGAGTCTAGAGAGATAAAGTATGTCACAGACTAAGAGGAATGCAGCCTCGAATCTGGCATCTGGAATCTGATGCTGCTTCTGAGGAGGAGGTCATTTGCATAGGTATAAGTTGAGGATAATTAATACAGCAGAGGGTGAATTGTAGCACATCCCCAGGGAGCTTGTCTACAATGAGCCTATTGGGACCATCCTGTGGCTTATGTGATGAATTGCCCTGGCCACTTCTTGGGGAAAAAATGTGCTAATCTCTGAAAGATTTGTCTGATATGATACAGTAAACTATGGGTGGTCCCTTGGTCATCTTTCCATCTTCTGACAAGGGTGGGGGTGGGGAGAGAGGGGAAGAACAGAGTGCTGTGTCTGTTAAGAAGAAGAGAAAGCTTCCAACTGTCTCTCTTCCTTAGACCCTCCAAGTGGCATCACGTAGCTCTCCTTCCTGTGAGGGGTACAGGGAAGGGTAGCTCGCTGTTCCTGCCTCTGGCCATCATGCAACCATGAGGACATGGCAGCCAAAGCCTATATCCTGCTGAGGCAAGCCTAATTACCCTGGGCTTGGAGTCGCTCTTCTATGTTTGTTATTTCCTGATTTGAGGTGAAGATCATCACTCCAGAGGTGTACATGTCCAGACTCGGAGGCTGCATTGTGAGTTTGAGGGGTTCAGAGGCTCTGGGTCCTCTGTCCAGAACTGATGGCGGCAGGGGGAGGGGTCCCTAACAACTACTCCAGCATTTCATATAAAAAGTGACCACTATAGAAGGATAAACACACATTTTTAAAATTAAATTAGGGCTTGGGCTTCCAAGAACTAAATCCTTTACACTCACACAGACTCAAAGAGAAAGTCCAAAACCCAGGATCATGCTTGATAGGCAGGATATAGTCTGTAGCTACTGATGTACAAATGGCTTCATGGTAGCTGGGGTAGGGGTAGGTCTGGCTTCCTCATAGGAAGGCCCAGAACTATGCAATTCCATCTGGAGGGTCAATGGAAGAGGCGGGGGGGGGAGAGAGAGAGAGACAGAGACAGAGACAGAGAGACGGAGAGAGAGAAATTGTGTCTTCTTTTTGACTGACATTGTATCCTGCCCTCTTGCTTTTGATATGGGAAGGAGCAGGGGAAGGGAGGAGGAGAAGGAGAACCAAGGGACCATCCAGAGTTCTCTGTGTCACACCAAAGCAGCAAGTTCTTTAGAGGTGAACAATGTTTCCTTAGAAGTGTCAAGGGCTAGAGTTGAGTGACCATGGGCAACTCAATGTTCTCATCCATAAAATAGAGATAATAATACTTGTATAAGTATTGCACAGAGTTGTAGGGGGAATGCTTTATAATCCTTAAAAGGAATATCTTTCTCTCTGTGTCTACATGTGTGTTCATACACACATGCATATAAATATACACACATATGTGTATATGTGCATATATGCATAACTATGTTTTTTTCACTTTCTGAAGGCTCTCACTTATTTGAGAAGGGGGGAGGTCACATATTTGGATGACTACTGTGAATGCCCTCATTTCTATACTAGAAAAGAAAATCTTCACTTTCTTCAAAAGTCACCCATTT